ATTGTTTTGAAGCAAGTATGTTAGGTCAGAAAACATGTAAAACATTCAGAATCCTCAAGGAAGGACTAGAATGGAAAGCAGTAAGGAAAACACAAGTTTAGTTTTAAGTCTAATTACCTTATTAAAATGCAATTTCTAAATATGGATCGCAGAACAGCAAGTCTGAAACTTTGGTTAGTTTGTGGATGCATCAGTTTGTAATTGTGATACTTTATACCGCTGGCAGTGTTTTATTCTTTGTTAGAGGAAGAGAAACATTGGTTAACATTTCTCTTGTCGGTTGTTTCTGTTTTATTTGAATAGAGCTTTTTAAAGCTATTAGTTCATAGGCAAAAGTTTTGTAATTTGTATTATACAAATTACAGCAATTTCCCTTACATGTGGATTCTTATTCTGTTTGCAACAAATTTTGCATTAATAAATGATGTGAAAGAATTTTGTAGTTTTCATTATTGGGGTTATTAAAAAGAACTACAAATCAGGGTAAGCAATATTTTTTAAGTACACTTAACTTAATTGAAATAGAGAGAAATTAACAATTTTATTGATTTGAATATAACTTAGGGACATAAGTTTAAAGGAAACAAATTATTCTGGTACACTTAACACAACCTTAGTTGGAATTACTAATATTATTTGACTAAGTCGTATCCACAACAGTTAAGTTAAAGTAGCTTAAAAAATATATGTTGGCTTTACTCGCTTAAATTAAATTCTGTTAACTTAAAAAATATTTCTGGATTCAAACAAATTTATTTCGTGCAACCACTTGTCATAAAAAAATTTAGTAAATTGAACAAAACATTTTTTTCAGTGTAGAGTAGGTTGTCTACCAATCAGAAGCTCCTCCAGTCTGTGTGTCACAGTGTCCTTGGGAGAAACACTGAACCCTGAGTTACCCCAGATGTGAGTGTGAATAAAGTGCGTGTGATTGGGTGAATAGGAATCCTAGTATAAAGCGCTTTGAGTTTTTAAAGTTGAATAGAAAGGCACTATGTAAGTCCATTTGATCGTTTAAATGCTTTTAGAGCAGTGTAACAGTGACTTTGTGCTAAATATTCACACACTCAGTCACAGGTAATGACCCAAACGTATTAAAAGCGATCTATAACTTCTCTCTGTGGTGTTTCCCTTTTTTCTTAGATCCTTTTATTGACTAAATGTATTGTCACTTGTGGGAAATGTGGTTATTTCACTGTAACTTCACTTCTAATTGTCGACCTAAAGAAATCTATTTTCATACATCTTCATAAATGTCATGACGATAGAGAATTACTTATATTTTTGTATCACAATGCAAAGTCCTGTTTTTTTGTTTTTTGCATAAATCTATGAAATGTGAGACAGCACCATAAATCTGGATGTGTCCATCTTGTGTGTCTTTACCAGACTGGCGAGCCGGAACAGTCCAGACGGACGAGCTACATGATCATAGAAAGTGGTCGTGTTTCCATGGGAACAGAGGCTCCTCTTCTTCCTCAGGTGTTTGTAGTTGTAAACAGCATGAAGACCCTCATCGCTGTGAGTGTCGGCACTCTGGCCGTCATCCTGCTGTCCTGCCTTGGTACCGAGAGGCTCAATGAGGTACGTCTGGTCCCGGAGCCGCACAAACCCCCTACAGAGGGGACAAAGGCAAACTTTTCAGCATGTCTGGTTCTCAAACGTCAACTTCCCCCTTTCATGACAGCAACAGAAGGGTTAACGAGAGAAGTCTGCATCCAAGGAGCACGAGTTACTGTGCATGCAGTCTTGATGATCTTTAGGAGGGATGCTGATCTTCCCTTTAGTTTGGGCGTGCTGGCCATGAGTCACAGACGAAGTCTTACCGTAACATAGCATCATGGTTTTTATGAAATTTGGGCACCCCTTCAGGGAAAGAAACCTTTTTGTAATTAGAGGTAAAAGATGAAAGAAAAAAATTATAGCCTGCATTACTCACTTTATTCCTGAGCAGAGTCCAATGCTGGCAGAGGAGTCCTCCACTCCCACGATGTGTCCGTGGTAGTAGCAGTGAACCTGAACAGACAGCCATGATTTGTACCAGAATTAATAATGACATTTGGGATTTTTTAATCTCCCAGATATCTCAGTGTGGTCTGGATGCTAATCTTAACCTTATATGTCATTCCCACTTCCTCCTGTTTCTTCCTGCTGCGTGTGTGTCTGTGGTCATAATCGGGAACCTGAGAAACTTTTTTTTTATGCAATTTGATATTTTGAAACGTGCAAGAAATAATTACACGTACTGCACAAAATGCCCCTGATCTGATATTTGTAGCAGATAATTACAATTTACTGCAAAGTGTTTACTTTAGAAATACGTTAACAGTAAGCATGGATACAAATAAGTGAGCACAAAAGACCTGTTGTCTTTCTTCAGGTCAGAGCTATGATTTTAATATAGTCAAAAGATTTATATTGGCATTTCGCAAAAGGAAAAAAAAAATATCCGGTAATGGATGATAAATGTACAAACACCTCTGTAAGCAGTTGGTGGCACAGGATATCCTGCTTTCATATGATTCAAGCCTGTGCAGTCAAATACTTATATGGTAATCTATACCAGTAAAAAGGATCTGAGAGAGAATGACTATGGAGTATCGTGCTAAGCATCTTGTGCACTTTCACAAAAACAAAATAGACACATTTTCCCGATGGTGTAGACAAATAAAATAATGTAAAGATACATACACTTAGATCTGGAGTGGTTGAGATTTGGTCTCCCTGATCAGAGTAATGTGTCACAGAGAAGGTTTTACCCACTAGATTCCTGAAAAAAGAAAGTGCACAAATTGAGGAACCTCAAAGGTTTAAAAAAGCCTTAGAAAGTAGCTCAAAATCAAACAAGTCATTTAAAGTTTTCTCACTTGTTCTTTTCCAAATGCAGAGTGTGGTTTTGCCCTGCGATCCATATAGAGTACTGCAGTGCATCAGGGTATTTCTGTTCACACACACACAAGAAGCAGAAGGGATTTAAATTCATTCTTCAGATCACTTTTTTCTTAATGAACTGCTTCAACAGCACAGTAGAGTGAGTGTTACCTTGTGTGTAGCAGCAGCATCATCATCATTAAAAACAGATGAGTCCTTCAGCCTCTGAGGTATCACTGTTTGGTACTTTATGACATGAGGTAGAGTCTCTACACTGGCTGTAATTATCCCTGCAAGTGTTAAATGATTTATTAGATAAATCGAAAGAAAGAAAGAAAGAAAGAAAAAAAGAAAGAAAGAAAGAAAGAAAGAACTCTTTACATACCCCATGAGGAGAAGAAAATCCATATAAAACATCCAGAACTTGACATGTTGCTCTATCAGACACACTCTGTCATTGTGTGGTTGGCTCTCTGAGGGAAATACAGAGGATCCTCAGCTCTCCGCCTCTCTCTCTCTCTTTCTCTCTCTCTCTTCCTCTCTGCCTCGTAATATCCTGTAGCATCTAAATCAGAGCAACCACGAGTCACCACAAGAGATTGTCAAAAAAGAAAAAAAGAAATTGTTAAAAAAAACTGTCTCCAAATATGTTTTTGAACTCTGTAGTCTGTGATTTACATGAGGGGCTGAACGAGCAGAGTGAAGAAACAGACACGAATAACAGAAGCACTTTAAAAAAACCACGCCTGGAAAGTCTGTGAAAGTTATTTCTGCAGTTAACTGAAAAATAAAACGCTTTGCCACCAAAGTTTCACCCATCCTAACCACTCTCACAAACTGTTGAGTATCAAAGCTTACTGCTACAGAACGGTAAGAGTTATCTGTCTTTAGCCATCAGGGCACGTTGTTGTATTTGCAGCCATCTAGTGGTAATGTGCTTGAAGCATAGGCTTGAAGTTTAGGGATGTTGATTGGTGACCTGTGTTTTAATGTTTTTAGGTCACAAAAAAAACACATTTAGGGAGCAATTTTCAAGAACAATGAGCTTGCAACTGACTGGATGCCTTGTGAAGGAAAACTATGTAGGTCCCACTACTGAAGAGAGACTGCCCTACAATCCAGTGCCCACTGGTATCAGACCAGGGCCCGCACTGTATGCAGTTCTCTGCATTAGCAGCCTGAGAACTGCCTTTGACTTTTTTATAAGAAAGAAGCTCTTTTAGCTGCTGTGCACCTATAAAAATCTGCATGGGAGGAGAATTGGAGAGATATACATGAAGTGTAGATGAGAGCCTTGTGGGATGACAAGACTCCAAGTTCCAAGGAGTTAAAAAGAAAAAGGGGTTCACACTCCAACCAACACGCTGACAACATCTTTACTTCGTTCACCTGTAACATGGTGGACTAATGTTGCTTGTATTAATTCATCTCCTTGTTTGTTGTGGGAAGTTGTGGTTTTGCGTGCCACATTTACTGTGAGCCAATGGCTGTGATGGGGTTGGATTAATTGAAGGCGGGTGTATTTGATTGCACTGATATGCTAGTCTACTTATAGCCCACACTACAAACACCGCTATGATGTTTTGTCTCTCTGTGCAGGTATGTCATATGATCAGATCTAAGATGACTTGATTCAAATATGTTTAGGATGGATAGTTTGCTGCTCTGTGAATTGTATATTGAAGATGTAGTTATATTGTGTCTCTCTGTGCAGACCAGGGCCTACTATATGCCGCAGCCTAAAGGCAGAATTGGGTTGCTGAGGCTGGAGTGATTACTGGCCATCTACTTTCAGGGTGGTGGGTCTTGGGGGACAGCTGCTGGTTGATATCTGAAGTGCAACTGAACTGAGGCATCGCTGGCTCTGGCCTTGGACTGTGGGTTTTATCCCTTTTTCAAGTGGGACACTGGACTGTTTTATCCCTTCATTTTTTTGATCATTGTACTAATAAATTCTTTTTGAATTTTATTGGTTGTTGTCTTTTGCCCATGGCTGAGACAGCTGGTCAGACCTAGAATCTGTTTGTGTGTGTGTTACACACCTTGGCAAAGAAACTCCTCAGATGAAATCTGGCTCTGGTTGGCACATTTAGGGGAAACAACCCAGACCTACCTCACCCAGCTCCTCCAGTTGCAACAGAGGAAGATTTTGTTGTCTGTCTTTGCCATGGTAGTTTTGGTGAAGGCAGTATCCTACATGCCCAAGTGAGACTAAAATGTGCACAACACACAGGTAACCAACAGGCAGTAATGGGGAGAAGAGGAAGCCTGGACTACAAGAAGCACAAATACGGTGTGGATAACCTAGACAGGATGTTGGCACCTCGAGTTGTTGAAGGAAAACTAGCAGATGGCTGTTGGGTCTTTTCTACGATCTCCTGGATGTTGTGGAATACAATGCCTTTGTTCGGTGGAAACCACTTCACAGGAGTGGGAGTCCTCTAACACCTACAAATGAAGAGTGATCCTGGAAGAGCTGGGGCACATGCTGGTGACCTCAACAATTGCAAGACAGCCTTGTCCCCAGTACTCGATAGCTGCCATTCATCCCAAGATACAGTAGTCTGAACCAGAGTGTGACCCATACCCCACCAACAAAATGAGAAGACTGAGCAAGAAGTGCACCTGCAGGATTAGAACATCCACTTGCTCCACCTATGGAAAGTGTGCCTACAAAGACCACTCCCTCGTGGTTAGCACATCCTAATGAGGATGCACACAAACTCAAATACAAATTTTTGTCATCTTAGTGGTCATTTGGTCATTAAATGGCCATTTCTGGCCCCTAAGACGCCAGGTGGTTGTTTATTTTTGGTCATTCATCACAAGAACTGATCATGCAAAATTAAATAAATCATTGTTACTGTTACTTTTACTGACCTGTAATGATTGAAAAAATATTAGGTTTCATGCATTATATGGTTAAAAAATTCAAAACTTTATTTCCTTTTTCTCTGAAAAGTTACTGGGAAAATATAACCAAACTAGACTTTAAAGGGTAAAAAAAAAAAAATCTGAATTTGAATAAAATGTTGGTTTTCGTGACAAGGACTGATACCAGTTTGAAAAATCAAGTGGAAATTGTTTTAATATATTCATTTATGGCATTTTGTGAAGGTATACAGAAGGTGGCCACTTTTGTCCACGAATATGCTGCTGGGGGTTTTTTCTGTCACTGCACAAAAAAGTTATGACGCATATATAATCATTGATACTGTTAATTATTGAAATACATTTAACTGCAATCATAGTTAGAAAATGCTTTTATGCTTTTCTCTTTGTAAATCATTCGAATTAGCTGATCTAAATGGTATTAAAAAGGGTTAAAATTCAGAATTTGAGTGAAATTTGGGGTTTTATAATTAGGGCTGATGCTAATTTAAACTCAAATACAATTATTTCTGTTTTCTGATATTTCTTGAACTACACCAAAAACTTAATGTTCTATAAGATGAGAGCGGTAGGGCTTGAAATAACCTTCCTTTGGAATAAAGCATTGATATTTATTATTATTATTATTATTATTTATTTATTTTTTTTAACTATTAAGTTTGAGGGAAGACAGTGTTTCCCACAGCTGTATTAGGTCAAAGCAGGGCGACTAGTGTTCAGTGATGACTATCAGGTGACGTCATAACCCCGCGCCAAAATACAACCGAAAAAGTCAAGAGCATCTGGCTGTCACTATAGGTCTTGTCTTATTGGAAGATGGTGTTTGCCCATAACTTTTCACCACATTGCTCCACCTTGTGGAATAACAGAACAATTACAATTAATAAGAAGTCATCGTTTATTAAAGAGTGGTTTGAAAAAAACATAATCTTTATAACAGACTTACTTGATGAAAGGGGTCAGTTTCTCTCAGTGGGTGTTTTTAATGCTAAGTTTAACATTCAGTGTTCCCTTAGAGAATATGACAAGGTTTGTAAGGCAATCCCCTTACCTCCTCTGTTGAGTTTGATTCAAGGTTATTTGTATTACTCTAAGGCACAAATTAGTCTACCTTCTTTACATCTAAACCTGATTCCTTTGACGGATAAAAACTGTAATAATAAAACCATGAACAAGATATTTAAAAACAAATTATTTCACGACTTTAACAGTAACACAAAACTAAAAGGGAGTAATGTTAAAATAACGAACAAATATACGCACTTTTTAAAATGGCCTATCCCCCCAAAGTCAAAGAAATGCAATTTAAAATAATTAATGGATATTACCCAGCAGCTGAAATGCTTAAAAAAAGGTTTGGGTTTGAGGTAGAGCCATGTGGATTTTGTTCACAAAATGTGGAAAGTATTGATCATTTGTTTTTTTCCTGCTCAGTAACAACTGACTTTTGGCAAGATCTAGTAGACTGGTTGAGTATAAGAATAGATGGGATGACCCCACAACTCTAACACAAGTTTTATATAATAATCGTGATCCATCTAAGGAACTGTCCATGCTACACAAGGTGGTGATAATTATGGGCAAATACCACATACACAAATGCAAATGGCAAAGTAAAAGACCTTCCCTAACTGAACTGAAACTTGAATTAAAATCTTTTTTGTCATCTTTAGAATTACTGAGGGATTCATGTAAAGAGGCTGCTTTGATATGCGACAATGGGACTCAATCTCTATCCTTTTAATGAGTGTGTTTTTGGTGTACTAAGTAAGCCACATGTATGTTAAAGTGTTCGCAGAAAGGAAACTGTTATATGTCATAAAAATGGCCTCCATATATTTATGTATATGTATATATGTGTTTTTGTTTTTTTGTTCTTGCTTTTAGTTTTTTTTTCCTATTTCGTTTGGTTTCTTATTCAACCTTTTCAAGATGTTGTTGCACTAATGTTGTCTCCCAACGAGAGATTGTAATATGTGCATAAATTTAATTAAAGTATGGAAAGAAAAAAAAAATCTGGCTGTCACTACCGAGAAGGGTCTGGCTGCAGCCACTGTGGAGCGCCACAGTAACCGGATACACGTGACCTCCACACTAACCGGAAACACGGGACCTCCACAGTAGCCGGAAGCACGTGACCTCCACAGTAGCCGTAAACACGCATGGATACCGTGGAAGTTTTTTGTTTTTTTATCAACCTTTATTTAAACATCAGTACAATACAAAATGGAATTAAACAGTACTACAATAATGGTGTTGTACTTACAAAAGAATTGTATGCATAGATAAACAAATACAAGAACAGTATTCAGAAACAACAATATAAATATGCTAGGGGGAAAGTAACTGATCAAGCCAAAGAATAAAGTGATTGAAAGATCTTGATTTTTTCACAAACACCAACAGTTTTTATAGTTTTTGGGTTAGTGGAGTTCTTAATTGAGTTAAGATACTGTACAAGTTCAAAGGAGAATACATAAAAAGAGGGATGTCTTCCTAAACATTTGGACTTGTGAATATGAAATTTAGCCATTAAAAGTAACAAGTTAACCATATATCTGTTATCAAAGTTGAATTGTTTTTGGTTTTTGTGCAGACCAAACAAAACATATTTCCAAAACAATAAAACTCCTTTAAATATATTTTCTGAAATAAAAACACATAAACTCTGCCAAAAATCTTGTACAAGGTT